CGCTGATTAAATTACATTAATACAAGAGATCGGATCAAATAAATATTTGACATCCAAAATTCAAATATTTGTTTGATCTGATACCGTATATGCTCTATTAATTACCCTCTCTCAAATAATTACCCCCCCCCCCCCCTTCTATTAATTACCCCTTGCAACCAGATGTTGAAACAATAATTACCCCTCTTAAAAATGGTTATAATCAGCCTGTTTAAAAAAAGCTCAAATAATTACACCCGCTTTATTAATTGCTCCCTTTAGCGAGAGGTTGAAACAATAATTACCCATAATTATTAGAGCATATACGGTAGTTGTTTGATCAGCTTTGGAAAGATCACATTTTTCAAATATCAAATAATTTGATCAAATATTTATTTGATTTTGTCATTTGTCTGATCACTGATTAACTAGAGCTCATAATTTAAGCTATATTGAATAAAACAATTTAATGGAAACATTATGAAAAAATATTTAATTTTAATGAACCAGAAGACAAAATGTACGGGACATATAATTACAACAATGTAACTAATGAAGAAATGCGTATAAATATTGGAATGTTTTCAAGAAGGGTTGATAAGATTGAGAAAAATCTAAATTCGAAGGAATTGGAAGATTTGTTCCTCAGAATAAAATCAGTTATATACGAAAATTTTGACACAGATCGAGTTGTGCAACTTTTATTTAATATTGCAAAGCTTTTTTGTGAAAAGGAAGCTTTATATAAAAATTATGTTAATGAAGGGAAAACAGAAACGATAATCGAGGAGGTCGATGCGGAAATTGAAAATTTTACACAAAATAATAGTATAGAACCATATCTAGAAATGAGAAAATTTCTGGCTGAAGAAAATATGGAATTCCTGAAACCAAAATTAGAAGATCAAAATATAATAAATAAATTCAAGAAGAAGGATGGATCGACGTTTTGTTTATTTATGCTATTGAAAGATTATCCTGCTGATCTCTTTAAAATTTTGAATGTTTATGAATTATTCGAGCTAGACGGTAATGATTAGGGATCGGATTTTTATGTGTAAAAACTTAAAAATAGGCACCTGAATAGGTTGTAAAAAAGCCAAAATAAGTGACAAAAATGAAAAATAGGTTGCAAAAAAGGTCGACATACTACATATGGGGCAAAAAAACAAAAATGCTGAATATTTTCTATTTTCTACTGTTTAAAAATTTTATTTGTATAATAAAAATGGTGAAAAATTAAATTTTCATTTTTTAATTGAAAAATATTTTTCCAAAAATTGGAAAAAAAATTTTTGGTTGATTTTCGCAGAAAAATAATGGAATATTATTTGAACACAATGAATTTAAAAATATTGAAGCAATTTTAATTTTATTTTGCCAATTTAGATTTTCTAAAAGATGAGAAGATAATAAAATACTACATAGTATATTTCCAATCATCGAAGGATGTAATTAATCAAAAAACTAGAGTTGTACCCCGACCCCGTACCCCGAACCCCGACCCCGTTCCCGAACGATTTTTTCACGATTCTCCCCGACCCGAACCCCGCCCCGAAAAAAAGTGAAAACCCCGTTCCCCGGCCCAAAAAGTTTCGGGGTTATCGGGGTTTTATACCCCTAAAAAATGTCATTTTTTGGAGAAATTAATGAAGAAAATTTAAAAAATTTTCAACCATTTTACTTTGCTTTCATTATTTTTGAAAGAAAAATGAATGAAATAACATAATTTTCTTTCCTTGTTTATTAAGAGACTTGTGGTTGAGTGGCTTACTCGTTGATTTTAGCCGATATTTCATTAATATAGGATTGGGTTCGGATCCATATAAGGAGAACTCTGTTGTTTTTATATTTCTTTACAAAAACAAATTATTAACGAGTTAGGTAATTTTATTAACGAGTTAATTAATTATTAACGAGTTTAATTTTATTTTTAACTAATATCCCTTGAACCACCCTTAATCCTTCAAACCTCCTGTATCACCAGTTCTCAACCATAAAAGTTGGAAAACTATTGAGGTCCTGTTTTCGGGAATCAGAGATATAAAGGGATTTGTAGGATATCGAAGAATTAAGGAGTTATAAAGTGATTTAAAGGGATATAAAGTTTAGATTAAAATGGATTTGAAAGGATTACGTGAATTTAACAAAATTAACAAGGATTTCGCGGGAGATTTAAGGATTAATCCGTCTAAATACACTGATATCCGTCTAAATACCCTTATCCGCAATACATAAATATCCTTATAAATCACTAATATCTTTTGAACCAACAAAAATCACTCCAGATCACCTTGTATCCCTAGATATACCATTTAAGCCCTAAAAATCCCACATAATCACTCCAGATCCACTTATATCCCAAGTTATACACTTTAATTCCTTCAAATCCCCTCTAATTTCTTCAAATGCTACTTAATTTTTGAATAAATAAACGAAAATCTATCGATTTCTAATTATTTTTGAGCATTTTTTTCTCTAAAAATTTTTCCAATAAACCCCCGTACCCCGACCCGAACCCCGGCCATATTTTGCTCCCCCGACCCGAACCCCGCCCCGAAACAATTGGAAAACCCCGTACCCCGACATACCCGCCCCCGAGCGTTCGGGGTACAACCCTACAAAAAACAAACAAGATTATAGTTGATTATCTTGCTTGGTTCAGATGGGCGATTAGTTCGATTAGTGAAAGAAAGAATTCGAAAACAAGAAATAATAACAGGAACATGTTGGAATTTTTCAAATCGCAGAAAATATTTTTAAAATTTAACTTTGAAAAGCTTTTCTTTGAGACTAAAGAAAATATTGAAATTGCGATTAAAGAATTGGTTTGCAAAATATATAAACTGAAATTATTTATTGAAAAGAAAAAAAATTACAAACCTAAAGTAAATAAGTTTATAACCAATTTAAAGATATTAAATAGGGCCACAAAAATACACTAAAATAAGGAAGGCCAAAAGTAAATTTTTTGAGTAAACTTTATAAAAGTTGAGAAGGTAATTTTCCTAAGTAAAAGGCCGCAATATTATAATTTCAAAAATAAAAAGCACTAATCTTAAAAAACATTGATTAATTTGGCTCTACTCAAGTTTATGAGTCCAATCTAAGTTTATGAGTCTAATCTAACTTTATGAATCCGATCACACTTTATGAGTCCAATGACAGTATATGAGTCCAATGAATAGTTTATGAGTCAAATCACAGATTATGAGTCCAGTGAAAAGTTCTACGAGATCTATGATCTATGCCAAAAAGATCTATAGTTAATAAGTAGGGTTGCACAAAACCGTTTAGCTAAACGGTATACGGTAAACGGGTTTTTGGTAAAATTAAACGGAACGGTATACGGCCTCAAACGGTATACGGTATATCGTTTTTTCAAAATTAAACGGTTTTGTGCAACCCTAGTAAAAAGCGTAAAATTGTTGTCCAAATGTTATAAATAAACTTAATAAAATATATCGTATTCGATCCTTGGATGGGTACTTTTAATTAAATCAACTAATATAGGTAATTATAATAATATTCTCTTTTTATTAAGACAAATAGACAAAATTCTGAGATTATTAATGAATGGATCAAAGAATGGAGTGACATAGCGAATGAAATAACTAAAATTTTTACGAAAAACTAGAGTTGTACCCCGACCCCGTACCCCGAACCCCGACCCCGTTCCCGAACGATTTTTTCACGATTCTCCCCGACCCGAACCCCGCCCCGAAAAAAAGTGAAAACCCCGTTCCCCGGCCCAAAAAGTTTCGGGGTTACGGGGTTTTATACCCCTAAAAAATGTCATTTTTTGGAGAAATTAATGAAGAAAATTTAAAAAATTTCCATACATTTTACTTTGCTTTTATTATTTTTGAAAGAAAAATGAATGAAATATCATAATTTTCTTTCCTTCTTTATTAAGAGACTTGTGGTTGAGTGGCTTAGTCATTGGTTTTAGCCGATATTTCATTAATATAGGATTGGGTTCGGATCCATATAAGGATAACTCTGTTGTTTGTATATTTTTTCACAAAAACAAATTATTAACGAGTTAAATTTTAATTTGAAAATATTAATTTTATTTTTAACTGATATCCCTTGAACCACCCTTAATCCTTCAAACCCTCTGTATCACCAGTTCTCAACCATCAGTTGGAAAACTATCGAGGTCATGTTAATGGGAATCAGAGATATAAAGGGATTTGTAGGATATCGAAGAATTAAGGAGTTTTAAAGGGATATAAGGTGGGAGATTTAAGGAATAATCGAAGATTCTCCTGATATCCGTCCAAATACCCTTATCCGCAATACATCAATATTCTTATAAATCACTAATATCCCTTGAACCAACAAAAATCACTCCAGATCACCTTGTATCCCTAGATATACCATTTAATCCCTAAAAATCCCACTTAATCCCTCCAGATCCACTTATATCCCAAGTTATACGCTTTAATCCCTTCAAATCCCCTCTAATTTCTTCAAAACCTACTTAATTTTTGAATAAATCAACGAAAATATATCGATTTCTAAATATTTTTGAGCATTTTTTCTCTAAAAATTTTTCCACTAAACCCCCGTACCCCGACCCGAACCCCGGCCATATTTTGCTCCCCCGACCCGAACCCCGCCCCGAAACAATTGGAAAACCCCGTACCCCGACATACCCGCCCCCGAACGTTCGGGGTACAACCCTACGAAAAACCCCGAAAATAAAAAAATTCCGATTAAAGAAGATGAAAAAATTAAATCGGAAATTGCAGAACTTCAAAAAAGTTTTGACGATTGGATAAAAGATGAACATTATCAAATTCTAGATAAATTTATAAATGATAAAAATAATGAATTGTCAAAATTTTTGATAGAAGGTAATTCTAAATATCCTCAAAGTTAACACACCCTCTGTTATACTTTATTGAAATTTTGGGCCAATGGGAAATTTTGGGCCAAATTCGTCAAATAAAAGCTTGACGATTTTGTAATTTTTAAATGTAATAAAATTAAATAAAATTAAAAATTATTTTTTAAATAAAGAAATCACCAATAAGGAAGAAATATTAGTAGATGAGATAATAGAGAAATTGGTTAATAAAGAACGTTCAAAAAAATTAATAGAAAGATTAATTAAAATGGCTAAACAGCAACAAATAAATATAACTAAAAATATAAAAAACCAAAAACCAAAAAAAGAATATCCAACGAGAAAACAAAGAAGGCATCAAACATTTTCTCACAATCAGCCTAAAACGGTTGCAGACACAGAGGTATCATCAATAGGGACTCACAAAATATGCACGGAAAATCGCAAAATATGCGCATATATATGCACCGAAAAAGTCCCAAATATGCACTGAAATATGCAAAATTAAACGACGTAAAAACACCATTTTTGAGCTTCTCACCTCAAGACATATCCGCATACAAAACATGCATTTGCATGTTTTTTTGTGAGTCCCTAATCAATATAAAATTTTGCTAAATAATAATTATTTTTATGCAATTTAACGGACCGTAGCCCGAAATGATAAAAATTTGCCTCGAAAAAGACTAGAACCGGTTCTTTTTATATTGTGAAGAATCATTTCATTTAAATAAATTTTTGAATACTGTATTTGCTAAATAATTACCCAGGGTAATTATTGTTTCAACGTCTCGCCGGAGGGGTTAATTAAAAGGGAGGGGGTAATTATTTGAGCTTTCATTAAACAGGCTGATTATAATTATTTTTAAAAGGGGTAATTATTTTTTCAACCTCTCTCTGACGGGGATAATTATTAGGGAGGGAATTATTTGAAAGAAGAGCATTATTTCCGCATTTACGGTAATTCATAAAAATAAATAATTAATTATAAGGTTCAAAATAAAGACTCATTAGATGTCAAAGAAGAAAAAGTGACAGAAACAAAAAATAAAACTATAATAGAGAATGTTGAGGAAATGATCAAAGTGGAGTACTTTACAGAAGATAAAAATTTGTTTGATATTTTTAATCAAATTGCTAAAGGAAAACAAGCAATTTCAATTAATCAAAGTTTTGTTGATGTTGGAATTTATGCAAATGAGATTGGGAAGCGTTTTGAATTTTTGGAGAGTTTAAAGAAGAATTATATTAAAGTTTTTGAAATTTATTTTGTAAATTTCAAAAAATTTAAAAGAATGGAAAATTATTGGGAGAATATTAAAGAAAAATTAATTTCAAAAAATGAAGATGAAATAAATAGAAAAGTTGAAAATGATTTGTATTATTTTTTAATTAAATTACTAAAAGTGATAGATGGAAGGCTTTTATTAAATATAGAAACGTCTGGAAAAATCAAAGAAAATTTGTATTTGGAAAAGATTTCGAAATATTTTGTTGAACATATTAAGGTTAATTGGAGTGTATTAACTGCCAATCAGAGACAATTTGTTCAAGAAATATTTAAATTAAAAGAAAAGGAGATTCTAGATGAATTGGCATTTAAAATAGAAAAAAGAATTAAGGAGCTAAAACAAATTAATGAACAATTGGATATAGGTTTGTGTTTTAGAGAAACGGCATAGTGCTATTAATATTTAAAAGCCGACTACTTAACTCATATAAAAGTCGGTATGTGTCACTCTAGCCGCGGCAGGAAGTTGTGAGGAGCAGGGTCGGAATTCCGATTTTCGACTTAAGATTTCCGAGTTCCGACGTTTTTTCCTCACGATTTCCGAAAAAAATTTGATTTCCGAACTTTTGATCCAGTTCCAATTTCCGGCTCTTCCGATTTCCGACACCACTGACTGTTACGACCCACCTCTGTGAGGAGTGAGCAGAATTCGTGGAAATTTTTTGAAGTAATTCCCACCTTTAGAAAGGACTGGGAACAGCCCTACAGTTGAGGGAAATTTTCTAGAAGCTGTTCGCATATAAGACATTCCCTTTCTAGAAATTTATAAAAAAAATAATATTTAAAGATAACTCTGAAAATGTCCAAGCTTATCTTAATCCAGACGTAATCAAACCTTTATCATTAAATGAAAAATGGAACGCTTTATCTACAAATGTCGATGGTATTGTTCCTTCAGTTTCATTTAAAGCACTTTTCGAGGAATGGAAAAATTTTACAAAAGGAGTTAAAGAGGTTAAAAATTTCCGATTATTTGTGTCATCTCCAGTCAATACACAAGGAGGACATATTCACGCAATTGTTTTAACTATTGGAGCAGGGAAAGTTAACGATGAGATAATTAAAGGATTATTTGTTGATAAAGCAAACAAAAGTTTATTGAATGATTTAAATAGCAAATGTTTGGATAATTCGTTTTATTGTCATCTTTTCAATGTAAGAGAGTCATATATAAAATTTCATTTCCCTTATATAATTAATATTATAATTGAGAGCACTAAGAGTTATGATCATAATTTTTTAGCCTTGATTGAACTCAGAATAAATCTTATATCATTCGGAAACCCTTAATAATCGGTATTTTATTCAAATTAGATGGGCCAGATACTAAAAGGTTGATAGACACTAAACGTATAAAAAACAAAGCCCAATTGAGCAGTAACTCAAAAAGCCCGCTCCGATTTATGTATATCTATGTAATTATAATTTAGAATGCAAGAAAGCAACCACTCAGGCCCGTAGAATAAATTCGGGGTTAGGTTACCCGAGTAACTTTTCCCCCACAAAACGAAGAAAAGAGAAAAATCTTTGCGCCGAAAAAATGAAGAAGAAAAGAAAGAGGAAAAGAATACGGTAGAGGTGGAGGGTAAAATTGTTACACTGCTAAGGGGCAGGGTAGACATTTTATTTTAAAAATCCTTAAAAATCGAAATTTCATGGAAAAATTATAAATTTAATATTTTTAGATAGTTTGAAATGTCCTCTATTTAATGATATAAATTTTGGAATTTTTTCTTTGAAAATCAATTTATGGCAATTTTTAGAAAAAAGTACCTCATTTTCTAGTCATTTTTTAAGGAAAAGTAGTACCTTGCTAGAAAATTCATAACTTTTCGATAAGTCGGTCAAAATTTTTGATTTTTTGGTAAACCATAGCTAACATTCCAGTTTATATTTTGGCAAAAAAATAAAATTTTTGTCGCCATTTAAAAAAAAGTTATGAATTTTTTTCTAAATAGGGAGAATAAGAAGCGGGTAGCGGCGCCAAACCCTTTTCTTAGGATCAAGTCGGCGCTGCCGCTACCCGGGTAACCTTACCCTTGAATTTATTCTACGGGCCTCAGTGGAGATTACAAACTACTACCCATTTCTGATGAAAATATTCATTATGAAGAGTATGGCACAGAGTTTGAAATAACATTTGTTTATTATAAAGAAGAACGTACGGCTCAAGATGATACAAATTGGATCGAACCTTTTATGAGGAAAATTTCAAAAAATTTAAATAAAGAGGGGAATAGCAATGAACAACAACAAAATGCTGATATCCTCTATAATCTTTCGTTGTTTAAAACTTCTGAATATCTGGAAGAGATATTAAAAAGTAAAAATGAGAAAGAGCGAAATATTTTTAATCAAACTTTCATGGCTTTGAAAAATTGGGCAAAAGGTTTAGAATTTTTAGAAGTTTAAAGTATGTTGGGAACTAGATTCTAGGGTAAATGACCTTTCACCAAGAACAGGACAAAGAACTATAAGTAAACTATTATAACAAGGGAACATCATTTACTGTCAGTGCCACAATACTAAGTCGTGAGTTATCTATCGAATGGTACCAAAAATATATCGAATTCGCACTGACAGTAAATGATACCCTTGAAAGACTTGTTTCTAGATAACTATGATATTACTCCACTAGATGTTTGAATATGCATAGTTCTGTGCACATTGAAACAACATAGAATCGGTAGCTTAACGTAAATATTTCCCTTCGGCGCTACCTGTTATGATTTTAGTGTTTAACAGTCAATGCCATTACGGCTTTTTCATATTTATATAGAATATAAAATTTTTTCTAAATCACAAATCGAATTTTTTGCATAGTAACCAAATTACAAAAATTAAATTTAAATTTTAGCTCATTGTATTTACAACAATCAATTTGGATTTCTCGACGGGGCCTCCATTTCTGTAATGCAAACAAAAGTTTTCCTTTCATGCCCCGAAGCAAATGTAATTGAATTAATTGAACGTTTTTTCATAATATTTTCAACTTGGTAAATTTCCAAAAAAAAGTTTTAATAAAATTAATTTATTTAAGGAATTGGCAAGTTCCTCTTCGAATAAAAAGTAAAGATAAAGAAGTGAAAGAAATGAAAAATGTCTCAATTTACAATAGTACATATCCTGAATATTCAACAATGAGCAAAATAACAAAAACAAATCAACAAATTATTTTGAATGCCTTATTATTTGGCAATTATTTTGAATTAATTCCATAGGATTGCTTCCGCCGGGGAACACTGTGGAAAACTTTTTAGGAGCACAGTGTTACGGAATGATTGATCGGCGAGAGTAAAATCACTGATAAACATGGTTTTCCGGCCCGGAACCAAAAAATTAGATTCAGTTCCGGGTTCGATCAAAATTTCAGTTCCTGTTCCGGCCGGCGAAGCCGCCGGAACTTAACCCGACCCCCTTACTTTTAAACCGACCCCATTACTTCCAGCGTTAATGTTGTGTCTTTTATGTTTTATAGCCATAGTATTCTTTTTTAGAGCGGAATTTGAAGAATGTCGGATTCGGTTTCCGGATCTTAAAAATTTTCCTAATCAGGATCGGATTTCCTGACCAGGAAAATCGCACCGGTCGCACCGACTATCGCACCAGTCGCACTATTAGAAGAAATACAGTAGATAATTCCTTTTTCATTTTATTCATAACACTTTAAAAAATAAATTAATTAAATAATATGTAGGTCTTCAAGATATTGTCAAATTTATTAAAACTCAAACAAAAAAAGGAAAGAAAAATAAAAATGAACCAAATTATTTAGAAAACAATGCCGAAGGATCAGAATTTGTTAAAATTGTGAATTATTATTTGAAAATAAATAATTTCTAAATTAATTTCAGTACAAACATTTTATTGTTTTTTCCTGTATTACTGAAGAAGAAGGTGGACAGGAGAATTATTGCGGATTTTTGGAGAATTTGGATAAAATAAATGAACAAATTGAGAAAATTAACCAAATAAAAATTCATCATATTGGATTAAAAACAGAGGATTGTCCTACAGAAATTCAAAGTATAATGAAAGGGTATGGACAAAAATTTGAGGAAGAAGAAGAACAATCAAATAGGTGAGAAACCCAAACGAATTGAGATTTTGTCTTATTTGTTTGTCCTCCTTTCCAAAACAGCCTAACGAAGTCGAAAAAATATATTGAAAAAGAATGTTAATAAAGACTAAAGAGCGGCACAGGACAGGACCCTGCACAGGATTATTCAGGATCCGGTCCGAAATCCTGCCTTTTTTCAGTTTTCAGTTTTCAGGATTTTCAGGATTAATCCTGCAGAATCCTGTCCTGTTCGGAATTTTAAAACCCAATCCTGATACCGCATCATGCAAATGCGATTATACCGGTCTCTAATAAAGACGTTACGAAAGTCACTACAAAAATATGATTGACTGAAATTTGGGCTTCGTCAAGATTTCCAAAAAAATTTGCAAAAACCGTCCTCCTTAAAAACAAACTATACTTTTGAGCTAATTTAATTAAATCTCGGAATTTTTTAAAATATTTTTAAATTTCAGTATAAATTTTTGTACTTCGTGGCTTGTTGGAATTAAAATTAAAGACAAAATTTTAAACAAGGAAGAATTGAAATTTGAAATAGAAAAGGGTGTTGAAGCAACAGGAGTTACTGAAGATTTGAAAATATTTGTTATATTAAAAGATGAAATTGAAAATTGGTATGTTTAAATAAACAAGATATTTTATAAATTTAAACATATTTTAGGGGGTTTGAATTGAATCAAAACGATTTTTATATTGGTGCGAACAAACAAAATGTTAAAGATGTAAGAATTTTGAAGGTGTTGAAATTTTAACTTTTATTGCCTTTTTGATTTTCATTAATCATATTTTATTTAACGCCAAATTATTCTGGACATAGGCAATCTGTTAACAATTTTGGGTTTCATCATTAAAACTTTTTAAAAATTTTATCGGCATTTAACACTAAATTCTGAGTACTTTATGGATATACCACCCTCCCCCTATTTTGAGTATCAGAGTTCTTTCATTATGTGCTACCCTCCTCGATTCTATTTTATTTCCCTTTGGTCAACAAATAAAAAATTGGAAAATTAATTTCATCTTTTTTTCCAAAAGTTCTCAAAAAGCCTCTCATTTGGATTTGCAAAGGAAAATAGAATGAAATTGACGAAGGAAGAAAGCTCATAATAAAAAACTCTGGTAAAAAAATGGGGGGGGGGGGGTGGATCCATGAAGTGGGACATAACAACGCAAAGCCATAACTTCCTTCAAAATTTCCAAATTTTAAAAATTATGTATTAAACGATTCATCTCATCAAGATAAAAAGATTATCATCAAAATTGATAAGGGCCAAAAATTTTTTAGCTAGTTATGGATTTGCGTTGTTATG